AGTATTAGTACATAAACAAGTACCTCTTGTCTCCAATCTTGCACTACTTGAGTTGCTCCAATTGGGCTTCTCCATCATCGTTTAAGACATCCCTCCTTTTTGTTATAAAGTTCATGTTTCCTTTCTTATTTTCCAAAGAATATTTTGAGTGATTTAAATGGGATGTATATCAACTTGCAAAAATACCACCATGTCACATATCCTGCTTGTAATACAAAGAGTGTCCATCCTTTTGATTTAATTCATTCTAACATTTAAGGGCCTGCATCAAACTATAGTATTTCTGGTGTTAAATGGTTTATCATGTTTATTAATAATTGTACCCATGTTATATGGATTTTCCTCATGAAAGAAAAATATGAAGTTTGTACTTTATTTGGTAAATTCTTCCATATGGTAAAAACCCAATTTGGGAAGTCAATCATAGGCACTTCTTTTCCAAATGAATGTACATAAATCTTATTGGGGAGAGGTTGTTCTCACTGCAACCTATCTTATTAATTGATTACCTTCTTAAGTCCTAGATGGTTTGAGTCCTATTAAGTTCATATCTTCGTTCTTTTCATTTGTTCTTTTCTCTTTAGTCCTCGTAGTCAAGTATTTCGTGTTTGTCCATATTCATAGTTGTTGAGATTGTTAATAGGGGGAGCACTGGTTTAGCTGAACTTACAATCTCAGAGCTTCTGGTTTTTTATGATGACAACACATAATTAATAACACATGTGTTTATGTGTTACATGTTAATTACTTTCATGATTATGATTATATGAGAACATGTTTGTGTTGTGTTGATCATTACAAGTCACTATGTTATATATGTGAGATTTAATTTGTGATTGCATGAAAATTTTTTTGGAAAAGAAAAACCACATGCACTTTAGTTGAACTTAAATTGTGTAGCAAAATAGCAGTTTTAAGTCGACTTCATTATGAAGTAAGTCGATTAAAACTCGTGGCTTTGCACAAACTTTTTGAAAGTGTGCTGTGAAATTTTTGAAGAGGAAGTTTTTCAAAACTATGGTTTTAACTGTTACAAAGGCGACTATGTGCGCAAGCCATTCGACTAAGTTTGTTATGTTTTGAAATTCTGTTAATGCTTGCTTAAAGTGTCTAACGACTATATTTTTAAATATGTTTGACCAAGCATTAATTGTGAATCAACTACATTAATTGTGTAATCAATTAAATGCTATGACTGCTACTAACTGTTATAATTGTCATGACTGTATTCAACTTCATTAGTGGCAAAGTCGACTGAAGAGCGTCAGAATTGTGCAAAACTATATATTGACGAAAATTTGAATTTTGTAAGAAGTTTTGAGAATCTAACGAATTGTGTGATAATTTTCATATTAGTGTTGTCTTACAGATTTGGGAAAAGCTCCAAGAACTCTTAAAGAAGACCGTGGTGTTCATCTTTGGAGATAGCTTGAAGAGCAAGGATTATGTGCTTTTACTGTCTGATAAAATCTGCACTGAAGGTGTCTGTTTTGGTGATCAGGAATTCAATCTTGTGAAGATTGGTGTTGTTGCATTGTTGTGACTATAAGAAGACGACGTGCTGCGTTTTGGACTTTGAGAGGTTTCTCAAAGGGTTGAAGACGGCAGAAGAAGGGACATCTTGCTGATGGTCTTTGTGTGTTGTATGCCTATATTTTGATTAGAGGGTTAGAGAGGTGTTTTATATTTTTGACATGGAGGTCTCTATAAAAGCCTTGTTATAAAAACCTTGATCATTATAGTGCATTTGCTTCTTGGTGAGGAAGGACACTGGATGTAGGCTTGGCTGAACCAGTATAAAAAGCAGTGTTTGATTTTTCAAGCCCTACACTTTTACTTAATCAACTATGTATTGTGTTTAATCAACTTTATTTCCGCTGCACTTAAAAATCTTTTTCTTTGTGTTTAAAGAAAGTTTTTAAAGTCATCTACTTTGCGAAAAAAGATTTAAAGAAAACATTGTTTTTGTATTTCACCAATTCACCCCCCCCCCCTCTTAGTGTATTAAGCCATTCTATTTTAACAATAGTCAATTCCGTTGAAAGTTAGATAATAAAGTTGTTAAATGTATATTCATTGGCTATGCATCTAATAAAAAGGGACATTGTTACTATCATCCTCCGAGTCGAAAGTTTTTTACCTCCATGGATGTCACTTTTGATGAAACTAAATCTTTTTTACGAATATCCTCAACTTTAGGGGGGAGTTCTTTTGAAGTTGAGTCTTTTCAATCTTTTAAGTCATCTTTTATCCTTTTCATACAAGAAAAATCTCGTACTACTCTTGGCACATCTTGTATGGATATCTCTGAAGCTAATCCTAACAAGGGAAACTCTGTTCTTGAGACAGGGTGAACTATAGAAATTAGTCGTGCATAGAATTTCATCCATATAAAATATTATAGGAGACAAAAAAAGTGAACCAAGAACAACACTAATCATTTAACCTAGGGGTAAGTGTTCCTTCTTTTAGCACCCTTGAAAAATTTGGAAAATTACTTTAATATTAATTGTGAACCTGACTTGATGACTTGCCCATTGTTTTGAGTAAAGGAACTTAGTTTTGAACCAAGTATCATATTTCTAATTTTGTGACTACTAAAAACCTATCTATGAAGCACTAGGGTTTTCTCTTTACCATTGATGCAATTGGAATCCCTACTTTAGTTTAATAAGCTTTGAAGGATGTGAATTGGGTTCAAGCCATGAATGAAGAGATGAATGCCTAGAAAAAACCAAACTAGGGAAATTGTTAACAGGCCACTAGATAAAAAGACAGAGTAGGATGCAAATGTGTTTATAATGTAAAGTATAAATCTGATGGCACATTGGAACGTTACAAAGGAAGGTTAGTTGTTGAAGGATTTACTCCAACTTATAGTATTGATTATGAGGAGACATTTGCTCCAATGAAAAAGATGAATACAATTAGAATCATTCATCGGTAGTTTATTATGTTGGGAATTGTAATAATTTGATGTGAAAAATGTTTTCTTGCATGGAAAATTAGAGGAAGAGTTCTATATGGAAATTCCCCCATGCTTTAGGCCTATTGAAGAAGGGAATAAAGTATGTAGGTTGAAGAAATCCTTGTATGAACTTAAGCAGTCACCCCGTGCTTGGTTTGGTCGGCTCACTCATGCTATGATCTCCATGAGGTATCAATAGAGTCAAGGTGACCATACCTTGTTCATTAAACATTCTCCAAAAGGTAAACTTGCACTACTCTTAGTCTATGTTGATGATATGATTGTTGCAAGAGATGATTAACATGAGAAACAAATATTGAAGGAAAAGTTTGCTGCTCAATTTGAAATGAAGGATCTAGGAAAATTGAAGTACTTTCTTGCAATAAAAGTAACTCACTCAAAGAAATATATCTTTATCTCCCAAAGAAAGTATGTTATTGATCTTCTAAAAGAAAGATATATAATTGATTGCAAGACCATTAGTGTTCCTATAAAACAAAACCATAAAATTGGGAGTGATGAATGAAGTTCTTTTGTGAATAAAGGCCAATATCAAAGACTTGTTGGGAATCTCATTTACTTAGCTCACACCAAACCAAATATAGCCTATGTTGTGACTGTTGTTAGTCAGTTCATACATGATCCAAAGGAGAGACATTTACAAGCTATAAATAAAATCCTTCAATATTTGAGGACATGTCCAAGAAGGGGATTATTGTTCAAGAGAAATGAAAAATTACAAATGGAAGTGTATATTGATGCAAATTATGTAGGGTTTGTCATAGATAGGAAATCCAACTCAGGTTATTGCATGTTCTTAAGTGGAAATTCAATGACTTGGAGAAACAAAAAAAATGTTGTTGCAAGGTCTAGTGTTTAGAGGTTGAATTCATACCTATGGCACTAGGGGTGTGCGAATTATTATGAATGAGAATTATTCTAAATAATCTCAAGGTGGCATGTGAAGAGCCTATGATCCTTTATTATGAAAATAAGTTTGCTACTAGCATTGCTCACAATCCAGTTCAACATAATAATACCGAACACATAGAGATAGATCGACACTTTATTAAAGAGAAATTGGATAGTGACCTTATCACTACTTCCTACGTCTATCTGGACTTCATTTAGCAATTTTTTTACAAAAGGTGTTCCACTAAGCAATTTCATGATCTCAAATGCAAGCTAGAAAAGATAGATATCCATTCACCAAGTTAAAAGGGGTGTTGTTAGTTGGATATTAAATGCAGTACTGAAAGTTGTTAGTAAAATATTTAATTTTTAGAAGTTGCTAGAAAATTCTAGAAATCTCTTGTAATTATTATTTTAGGGGCTACGATGTAGAGGGACAATGATGTGGAGGAGCTACGATGCGAAACAAATACTACACAAAAGAGCTACAACAAACATGAATAATTGTAGGGACGAACACAAATGGTGTAAATGAAGTTATATGTGATGGAAACAAAGCAAAGGAAAATTAATTTTAAGTTAGGATTTGTTGATTTTAGAAAATAAAGCTATTTTATATAAAATACAAGTGTTGTGAGCCAACTCACTATAATTTAGCTCAAATATTCAACCCGTAGCTTAAATTACTTAAACTTGTTTTGACTTATAACCAACAAAAACTTTAATTTTTCACATCAAATCCATAATTAATTCGATTGACTCACATATTTCAAAAAAAAGGTTTTTTATACCTGTTAAAATTTGTTTTTATACTGATTTTTCGAGTAAGTATAGAAATAGGGGTATAGAAAGTTTCGATTTTTTTACACCAGTTCTAAACCCGATATAAAAGATTTTGCTTCTACACCGATTATTCCTAGAACAGGTATAAAAAAATTTATACTTGATATTCCCAGGACAGGTATAAAAGAAACTTATTTTTGTACCTGATGTTATAAAAAAATCTAACTTTTATACATGTTATTGTCCCCAACCGGTATAAAAGTTCAAATTATGATAATTTTAATTTAGATGCTCCTTCCCTCTATTTTTAGATTTGTCTTACATCATATCAAAAGATAAAGAGACAAGAGAAAAACGTTGGGAAAAATACGGAAGAAAACATCACTAGATTTATTATTGTGTTCTTTAATATCATACATTGCCCCTACAACTCCTTAAAATCATACATAGCCGCCTACAATAAAATCAAGTGTTTCAAAAAGAAAATATCCCTCTATAAGAGAGAACTTCTACAGAAACAAATTATGACACCTTACATCACTAGAGTTGTATCAGACCTAGATGCTAATGTAGCTCTTCTTCTAATGCAGTATATGGATGTCAATCTTTTTCCAGTATATGGATGTCAATCTTGTTCCCTAACACAAGAAATGGAACATTTGTCAATTATTCATATGAAAGCAAGGCCAAGCTCTTTCTTAAGCAAGTTTTCTATTATTTGTTAGTTGGAAAATGATTTTGAAGTGAAAAGAATACAATTTACCTCTTCAAGTGTGTTGGCAAGTGAAATTTTAAAAAAGATATGCTTATAAATGTTTTGGCAGTAGTAGAATTAAAATGAGATAATGGTGAACCTGAATCATTTACAAATTGTAGTTGATCCGAATGGCATCCTTATTCTGCCTCTGGTTGCCAGACCAATCAACTTCATTGATGAGTTGTTCTTTCCCTGATAATTCAGCAATGTTCAAGTTATGGAATGGAATTCCTAGTTTCACCTTTCTTAGCTCGTCTTCCTAGGTAAGCAATATGCTTATTTAAGCCTAGTTTCCATTATAAGTATGACATCATATCAGAACAAAAAGAAAGTAGCAAAAACTTATTTAAGCCCAATGGTTTCCTCAGCAGCACTCAATCCCTGTTTTCTCTTCTTCAAATAAGAAAAACTCATAAATACTTAAGATAGTGGTGCATCATAGTTCAACGGATAATGACACATATCAACCTTTTTGCCTATGTTCATAAGCGGCAATAACAAAGTCTACTTAACATCCAAACGCAATGAAATTAATTTTCTATAATAATCATCAAATCCAAACCGTACTTACAAATGGTGGAGTGATATATTTTATTTCAGTTTCGATCCAACCACACCATCTACAATGTATCCCAATCTGTTCATCAAATATAGTGCTTAAAAATATGAGGAAGCACAGGAATAACTGCTACTGTCTACAATAATTAAAGAAAATAATGTGATAAAGTCTACTAGCAGAGAAAGTTTATGAATTATCAATAATAAGCCAAAAGTCATCCTTCTTTATATATGTTTCACAAGAGCAACTAGAAAAGGTAATGAAATAACACTATATGAATGTATAAAAGCCATCCTTCTTTATATATGTTTTCTACCAATTTAGCCATTTATACATAGTCTAAACTGATTCCAGCAACATATACTTGTTCAATTCATCCTTTAATTCTAACATATAACCATTTCATCTAAAAGGCCCACTAAGACATGCAAAGTTCTATTAATTCATCCTCTTGGATTTGCCGGTCATGATCCTTCAACATCTGATCCATGTTGCTTGAAAGAACTAGTAGAGGCCCAGAATAATGAATTTTATGACCCTTAGAGCCATAACCAACCTGCAACATCGTCATAAGATAATCCAACCATAACATTTAGACAAAACTAGAACCAAAAAGTAATAACTTTATCACACTTCTAACCGCTTAGGTGATAAAGTTAGCAACAGATAAACATTTCAAACCTACTTACAAGACTTGAGTCTTTGTTGTTGCTGCCTCTTCCTTCTTCCTTTTGAGGAGCATGTGCATGATTATTCTTGTGATCCTGTTGCGTCATTGACTCAGAGGCCTCCTTGAAGGATCCTGGGAACCTGCTTATTAGTTTTTGGGCATCCGCTTGTGTGACTCCTGTCCAGTTAGATGTATATGGATCTCCACCATCCCAGTTGCTCAAATTTCTATTAATATTAATCAAACTTGCCTTTATGATATTTAATGCGTCAACTGCAAGATAATGATATAAATCATATATTGTCAATAAAAATCTATGAAAACACATTACATATTGTGTCCAGTAATTACTCTACTCTTAAAAGTTAGCTTGTCTTTCTTAACATTTCTTAATTTTTAATAGTTTGGAATTAATTATGTATATAATTTTTGAGAAGTGAAAATCTACTTGAGGAAAGTCTTGTCATACTTACTCAGTTTCTTAACCTTATATAACTAATTATGTATATATGTTTAAAATTTTCAAGCATGAAACAAATGGTTAAGAGCTCTTTCTAAGAAAAAGATTTCAAGTAGAGACCATTTCCCTTTGTATATTGAAAAGTCCACTGCAACAGATACAAAGGAAACTAACTGGATTCAATTAACTAACTATAAAAATTATAAAATAGTAAGTAATATTAAAATTGGATATGTATAGTGACTGAATTTGAATTATACGACCCATAAATAGACATCATGTTTGAAAAAACATACGTGAAAATTAAAAAGATGCTAATTGAATACAAACTTAAAAAAATGGGGAAATTAAAAAAAAATAAAAAATTAAAAGATATACCGTGGATCAATGATGAAACCGGTAGATGTAAGTTTCTTGACACTTTTTTCCTTTATGCCCTGCCAGGAGTCTTCATCGACTTCAAGGAACCTGAAATTTTTTTATCATCATATTGTTATTATGAGTTTATTCTTGATACCACTTACACTTCTAATAAGATCTTTAGTAATTATTAAAAAAATCAATCATCATAATTATCATAACATAAATGTCAACAACCTATAATTTGAAAAAACTATAACTTATTAAAACTTTCCCTAAATTCTAATTAAGTTGAATTCTTATGAATGGGTTCTTAATTTAATTTCAAGAAGTATAGAAAGAAACTCTTAACAGAACAAAACAGAATTACAGATTATATATATAAACCACAACCTGATAAATTTAACTTTTAAGAAGAATCAAACAAAGAATTGACAAATAGAATAACCTATATATTCAATTATCATCTTACAACACAGAATCAAGATCCTATGTCTAGTGCTGATGCCAAATCTAGTGTCCTAGTTGAAGTTGGACCATCCTGAAATCAACAAATATTCAGAAACGCGTAATCAGGTTAGACAAAACATGTTCAAATGTAAGACAAAACATGTTCATGTTCATGAGTCCCTTCAAAAAGCTACTTAAGAAAATAACAAGACCAAGTCATTTCAAAATCAAATGCATCATCATAGGATCCAATTATATGATGCGGAAACTAGAAGCCAGTAACATAGCATCAATTGCAAAATACTCATCGATAGGTGCAAACACAAGCTGTGCAAATGCTCCAATTGCATTTTCATCACCTCCACTACACAACTGTCACATCAAATTGCATAATAAGTAAAAAAAAACATGGACAGAAACAGTAGCAATTCCTGCTTAAATAAGTTAAAAAAAATTGGCTTTACCTGCAATAGATACATACCACACGCCAAAGCTACATCATCAGGGGGAAATGCATTACCCTCAATTCTAACTACCACCAAGATCAAGGGTTTCCCCTTCGAAAGCATGGCGTCCTTCATCTCTTCCCTACCGGTCCTTCGTCATCGACGGTGATTCTAAGTTCGGGATCTTCGTCGGCATTCTCGTCGGATATGTAGGAAATTTCAAGGCACCGTCAACTTCGAGAAGTGAAGCTTCATTGGAGTTGGAAGAAAACAAACTAGGGTTTTGGAGTTGGAAAAAATCCATCAGAAATGGGGTCAGTTACACCTTCGAGAAGTGAAGCTTCATTATGAAGACTGAAAGATTTTGTGACTGACCCACGGCGTCAGTTACACCTTCCTAGAACCACTTCTATCTCCACTACGAGAGCCACCACAACCCACCGGAGCAGTAAACGCGATCGCAGCGTGATGCATCCCAAATCATGAGCATCGCCACACTACGGTAGAAGAGAGAAAGAGACGTAGAGAAAAAGAGGGAGGCAGAAGACAAAACTGATCCGAGAGAAGGGATTCACTTAGAATATCAAATTTTTTATACTAGCTATATTGCATAATCGGAATAGAAATTTTTTTTTAATATTAATTATTTTTGTGATAGCATTACTTCGTGCCTATTATAAGTCTAGCAGGTGTAGAAAATTTTTCTATACCTATTTATACACTGTAATAGGTATAGAAATTTTTATTATTTATTATAATTTTGTTGTTATGTTATTTTTCATACTTGTTTTTATAATAATAGGAATAAAAGAGTTTCTTTTATTTACGATTTTATCATCGTATATTTTTTATATCTAATGAATTTTAATAGGTATAAAAAATCGTTTTAAAAAAATATATTTTGAAAGTCATAATTAATTTGATTACTCACAAATTTCAAATATATATATATTATTAAATATAAAGAAAACTAATGTATTCCTTAATTTCTTTTAAAAAACGTTAAACTATACTTGAAACGAAACGGAGGGAGTATATAATAAACTTTAAAAATATTACTCGAAAATTTGCTTAAATCAGATATGTTAATTAGTTAAATTCATCTAGTCTGTCTAATAAAATATAATGCAATATTAAATATTAAATAATTTTATTTTTAAAATATTCTCTCTATATACTCGTGGTCAAATGCTTGTATACCTTTATTTCTGCAATTGAATTGCATACAAAGAGAGATAAGGAAACAACTTTCCATTTTCACTCGTTTCGTAAATTGATCCATTGCAAAAACATGTTTCTTTTTTCTCCTTTTACTTAACTCTTATTTGGTGCCACTTATGGTTTGACCAAAGGATAACGTCTCTGTTTGCACTTAAATATAATTAAAGTGTTTTAATTAATCCAACACAATTTTTATATCTAATATAAGTTATAGTACCATAAAATTATTGTAGTACCTTTAATAAAAAAGAGAAATATAGATTCTCTGTTGGATTTTTTTTTTCTGTTAGTTTGTTGTGTCTTCAAAATATTACTAAAATACAGTGTATTTCTAATGCACAACAGATAAAAGCACAAAAAAAGACAACTAAAAATGATAGGGGAAGATAAATTTAATATAAATAAAGTCTTCTTAAAACTAAAGAAAAATCTAAACTAATACAAGAGCTAATCATAGTCAGGGAGAACATATATCTTTGTACTAATTATTTCAATAATTTTCAAATGCAAACAACTCTTGTTTATTTCGTTGGATGTGGTTATCAACATTGTTTTAACCTGCACACATCTTTATCTGATCAAAGGCATCAGAAAGTATGCTACGTACAATAACTGCAAAAAGAAAAAAAGACATCAATATATGATATATCCCACTTTGAATGAAAAAAGAAGACAGATTTCAGTGCAAAAATTTAAAAATAAATATAGAAAAAATTGACCAAAATTCACTTCGAGACACGCTTTGAATCTTGAACAATGCTGTTTTTTTTATTATTATTATTACAAGATCAAACTATAATCATAGAAATTCATGTTCACAAAAAACAACTTCAGCTGATTTTTCCCAGATTCTGTATCTCAATTGAAAATTGAAAAGAAATAGAAATTCAAAAGAAAACTTATTTTTCAAAATAAGGAAAAATTAATGAGTAAAGATAGCCTAACACATATTGACCTTACACAAATAATAAAGATAAAATGATTTTAAAAGAATAAATTTTTGTAATTTTTCGAAGAAAAAAAAATAAAAAATAAGGAAAGGCAGTCTAAAATGAATGTAAAATAATTATTGGTGTTAAAGTATATTTTTCAAAATTAATTGGATGGTTATTTCTTTCAAATAAAAATACAGATATTTAACTCCTTAAATGGTAAAAAAATATTAAATCATTACCTTCCAGATCAACATAAAGAAGGATCCCATGGAAGCTTTGCTAGTCAAATCTACAAATTTTGCTTGATACCAGAGAATCCAAGCCAGAGCAGCATGTCCCAAGCCCTAAAACATCGATAAATTTCAAGACACTACTATCAAGATTAGGAAATTGTAATAGCCTATCCATTAAGCAACACATTCCTAGGCACATTTCTTCATTTAAGATTGTTTTTCGATTATTTAATATTTATTATTCTCTTCTAAGTTGCAATTTTTCAGCCTAAGAAACATATTATAAAACAAGAACTTCAAAAACTTCATGAATTCATCACGAGAATCAAAATTAAAAGACCATCACAGTACAGCAGGCCTTAGTCGGCGCGCTTCTGTTTCCGTGATACTACTTCAAAGAAGTCGTGCGGTACAATAACGACTTATGTTTTTTCGCAATGAATGCATACTGATGTAGCCACTCGAGAAAGAAAATTGAAGATTGCAACTCATCAATAGAGCTTATGGATAGACGTTCGTCGGATTCAGAATGTTCTGAAATGGTGGATTTTCTTTAAGGAATGGGTGATGAGAATAAGGAACAGCAAACAGTAGAGTCACCGAAGGAGCCTACCGGAAATAAGAGGTCCGTCGGAGAAGAGAACGAAACAAAGGCATCAGGGAGGTCACATGACAGTTACACTCAGATGACGAATTTGGCAAAGTCTAATTACGAGCAGAGGTACAGAGAGAAAATAGATCAGAGTATCATACAAATGGAAAGATTGTATAAGGAAGTCATTTTCAACTTTTGGATTACAAAACAGAAATTTTAATATTCATCCGGTGTAATCAAATTATTTTTTATATTAATTTAAATTGTTTTATGAAAAGGACTAAACATATTAAGATTAACTACATTTTACTAGAGAAAATACCATATATAAATATACAAAATTGAGTTTGTTAATTCTAACAATCAACTAAAAGATATTTTTACTAAATTAATTATGAAGGTCACATCACTAATGCAAAAATATGATTTGACAATGATATGCTCTGATATTAAGAAAAAAAACCCTATAATGATGGAACGATATTTTTGAAAATGATGCAAGTGTGTAACAATCCACACAGCTGTAGAATTCAAACTTATATATGTAAGAAGCATATTACCGTGACAATTTTAACCAGAAGACTAGAAGATGTTAGTCCCGCCATGAGGGCAATTCCGAAAGCCATTTCAAAAAGGCAAACACAAATCCAGAATACCTGCAAAGATTAGTTAGAAACAACCAAAGAAAATAAAAAGTAACAACCAACTTAACTAAGATGTTTTACTAGGAAAACATACCCGTTTTTGACCGAAACGTGCTGCAAAAGATTGGATACCATATGCTTGATCTCCGTCGATATCAGGTACATCCTGTTGAATCCAAAAAAAAATAGGTATATATACTAAACCAAAAGCTTGATGTTTGAAAAGAATGTCTGTTTTGAGAAACTAGAGTTTTTACCTTGAACAATGCAATACCTAAAGAGTAGAAGCTCATGAATACAATAACAAAAATCAGTGGTCTTGGAAAGATAGTAGCCCTCTTCAACACAAAGGTCTGGACATTGTTACATGAACACACAATGAAAAAATGTATTTAGCTTCCTTTCATCTTTCTTTAATTAAAGACATGAGAAATGTTGTTAGAGAATATAACATTCTTAGGTCTGTAGAAAAAAAATATATTAATACAGACAAGTGTGGTCTCAAGTCATAAATTGTGATTTACACTTAACTGTTTATTACTTATTTCTTACAATACTTAGTTGTAGGCTCCTTATTATATATAGAAGTTTCTGTATTAACATTTTACGTAAATGTACATATCAATAAATCAATGAAAGTGAAAAAACCTGTTATTTTCTCAACATAGACTTCAACTTTCTCATCCAGATCCTATTATTTAGTTCTATTTTCTTAATTCAAAATAGTGTTGGAAATTTTAGGAAGGACCAAGAGAGATTTATCAGTTATGAATATAAGATAATATGATATGACTTTCAAATAAAAACTTTAAGGTTAATTATTTGTGATTTTATTCAACTTTCTGATTATTTAAAGTGCGAGACTTTCGACCTCTTAAATTCTTAACTTGCTTATTCTTAAATGCTTCTATGGTTGAATATATATATATATATATATATATATATATATATATATATATATATATATATATATATATATATATATATATATATATATATATATATATATATATATATATATATATATATATATATATATATATATATATATATATATATATATAATGAGTATAATTAATTAATTATAGGACAACCTGCATGTGAGCGGAAAATGTAATTGGAAATATGACTGCCCAAGTAGCCCAAACGCATGTTGCCGCAAGCAGTGGATGTCTTTTCCATCTCAACAGAGGACCCTGAAAAGTTTAAAATCAGTATTATCACCATCTAAACATTGTAAATGGGAATTTAAATGCGTTATCATAAATTGTTTAGTACTCTATAATAATGTCACTAGTGCAAAAACCACAACGATTATTTTTGCTTATAGGCAACGGTTCTACAACCAAGGCATATACAGACGAGGCAAAAACGGGTAGGTTTTTTATCTCAATTATGACCCGAGACAAAAGGGGTAGGATTATGCCTCGGTTCTTAGGTAACCGAGGCAATAGCGTGTTTTTTTCTTCAGACTTTAGGTCTCGGTTCGTACTAAACCGAATCGGTACGTATTGGTCGGAGCTACCAACGCTAGAAGTCACGCCAGCCGTCGCTACACACATGGCCACCTCCATCCGCGCCCTCCTTCACATCACTCTTGCAACCATAGAAAAAAAAGGAATCACATCATCCATGCAACCATAGAAAAAAAAAACAGATACAAACCATAACCCTCAATTCAAGAGACGAACCCCAAATTACAAAATTGAATTTCAAGATTTCCCAATTTCAGAAACAGAGAAGCAAGATTTCCCAACCCGAGATCAAAACAGAGACCCAAGATTTCCTAATTTCAGAAACCCAATTTGACAGAACCCCAAGGTTGCAATTTTTGAATGGTAATGATGCTTTCCCTTTCCGCTCTGCAACTGGACCACCACAAAATAACCTAGAATGGCGTCCTTGCGATTCGCAATTTCTTCGCGAGTTTGTCCTCCTCAATTGACGAAACTCGACACCAAATCGCGCCTCCTTCATTCAATATTCTCCACCCCAACCTGCACACAGAATCACAAAAACAATGTTTGCTCCATCATTCAACTTCTTCACCACGAACCTGAAAACGCAGAAACCAAACTCAGAAATCGTAAATCCTTTTCATGGCGCCTACCTCCATTGACGTGGACAAGTTCTTTTCTTCCTCGCAAGCACAACCATGAGCTTCAATCGCGAACTCCTTAAGCTGTCATCCATGGCCGAGAGTTGTGCGCCTCCATCGTCTCCACAGCGGCGCAGGAGTAAGAAGGCAGAATGTTTTTCCCCTTTCCCCATCTGCAAAACCCTAATTTTGGAACCAATAGGATTTTGCGGAAATGAAGAAGAGTTCCTGCAAATCCCGAAATCAAAACATTTAATCACGAGCTTTGTTGTTGCGAAACTGCTTGAGAACGGAGACAACCACCCTGCGAAACCGCTTGAGAACAAAGACCACCACACCGCGAACGCAAGCCCGCTCTTAATCGCCATCAAACAAGGCTTCTAGCATCGCAAAGACGACAAAGATGGAACCCTTGTGGAGGTAGCGCCACTATAGTCCTCATTGTGCCGCGTCGTCGTCGTTCTTTTGCTGCCCTCGCTATGCCCTTGTCACGCCCTCGCCACACCCTATCCGCGTCGTCACCATTCTTTCGAAGTTCCTCCCAGGTTGGGTGCGAGAAAGGAAGAAGAAAGAAGCTTGAGGTAGTGAAAAAGGGGGAAGAAGATAGGTTGTGTTGTTTGAACGAGACTTGGTGAAATTAAACTTTCAACATTGAAATTACGTAGGCTTTTATGCCTCGGGTCCCTCTGAACCGAGGCACTAGGTATCTCCAAGACAAAGCATCAGATGAAAAGTCAGATTTTGCAGCTTATTATGCCTCGGTTGCTCTTATAACCGAGGCAATAGACCCTTTCTACTTCGGTTTCCAAAGAACTGAGGCATATAACTTTGCTATTATTACAAAAATGCCACCGCATTTTTATATGCTTCGGTTTTTATATATGGCGCGTTAAAATACAATTTTTTTTACTAGTGTGTTTATGAACTAAAAACAATAATTTTCTTTTTCATCTTACTAATACATTTTCTATTATTATGGATATTGTTATAAGTACTCTAACCTTCCATAACCCTTAAATATGCTTATGCCTTAACATTTTAAGGGATAAAAATAAGTTTATATGCAATAGAAGAGAACTCACATTGATCGAATAAGCTGTCCAAAGAAGAAAGCATGATACAACACTCGAAATCAATGGCCAAGAACCTATAGTCCAAGCAAGCCCAAAACTCTGTAGAAGATAATTAAAAAAAAAAAGCCTCCTTTTACTTTGTCTGCGAAGAACTTCTAAAAAATATTAGTATAAAAGGGAAATAATATATATGGCACCAGAGTTAAACTTGATGCAACAATAATGGCACCAGTTGTGAAGGATATTTGCCCAGAAGCCAATGGAAGATAGGGTTTGTTTATCTGCAATAAAACATGCAACAAACTACTAAATAAGACAAACCATAAGTTACTTATGATGGGAGCAAACTTTAGAGGCTTAAAGGAAATGTTTAAAAGTTGGAAGAGGTTAAAAGATTTTGAAAAAGGAAAAAAATTTTTGTAATATTGATTGTTTTTAATTTATTTTGGTTTAATTACAAAAGATTCAATCACCGTTATTTATACTAGGGGCACTTTCTCAATCAATGGTTAGGGTATTGTCACCACAACATTAATTTAACATTCTAGAATTCTTTTATATAGGATTTTTCTATAATTTTATTTGTGTCTTTTCTAATCTTGGACTTTTATCTTCTAGGCCCAAAATACAAAATCAATTTATCATTCCAACATCCCCTTTTAAACATAATTTTGTACTCCAAGGAGGCTTCTCAATTTCATAAAGACTTCCTTCTTTAACAGTTTGGCGAAGATATTTGCTACCTGATCATGGGTCTTCACGTATTCCATTTGCACATCCTTGCATTCTCTAATGTAATGGTAATGATGTGTTGATGTGCTTACTTCGATTACGAAAGACTCGATTTTTTGCTAAAGCTATTGCTAACTTGTTGTCCACAAAAATCTTTGTTGGCTCCACTTGTGGCAAGCTCAACTCCTTCAATAGGTTTTACAGCTAAACAACGTAGCAAACACATGAAGTTGCTTCATATGTAGAAAGAGTGACAATAGGTTGCTTCTTGGACATCTAAGTAAAGGTTGTGTCTCCCATGTAGAACACGAATTCACTCTCACTCTTTCGATCATCCATATCCCCATTCCAATCGTTCTTACTATATCCAACAAGCTTATAGTCATTAGAAATGGAATAGTATGTCCACCAATCTTGCTGCCTTGTATCTCTGAACTTCTCCATTGGAGTTCTTCTTTGCTTTGTAGACCCACTTGACACCGATTGCTTTGTGCCTTTTTTGGAAGCGAGATTAGCTTCCATGTATCATTCTTCTTTATTGACTTGATCTCTCATCTATAGAATTTCTCCAACTCTTCTTTTCAATTTCTTTTTGGAAGTTCATGGGCTCACAGTTTGCAAATAGACAGAATAAGGTAACATTGTCTAGATTTTCAGTTACCTCATAGATTTCTTAGAGACTTCAAAAACATGGAGTTCTTTCACTTGAGCTTTCATCTTCTTAAGGGGTTGTATTTGGTGAAGTAGGTGGAGTAGCAGGTGCCTCTTTCGGTTGTTGTGGCTATTCCACGTCATCTTCTTCAACGCACGGGAAGAAGTTACAATTTTCACAACTTGTCAACCAATCTCATTATCCTTCTTCATTAAACACTACATTTTGACTTATGATTGTTTTCCTTGTATCATGGTTGTAGAGCTTGTACCTTTTGGAGTTAGTGTTGTAACCAATGAAGATGTATTTTTCACTTTTGTCATCAAGCTTACTTCGCTTCTCATTAGGTACATGGACATGAGTTATGCTTCCAAAGACTCTAAGATGAGAAATGCCTTACTTTCTTCCATTTCATGCTTCTTGTGGTGTTTTCCCACTCACGCTTCTTGTTGGAGAACGATTGGTAAGATAAACCACACATGCAAAAAATTCAACCAAAAACTCATTTGAAAGTCTCTTACTTTTAAGCATGCTCCTTGCCATCTTCTTGATTGTTCTATTATTCCTTTTCGCCACCCGACTTTGTTGAGCGAATTTTGACACTATCAACTGTCGTCTAATTCCATTGTCTTCATATAATTTTGAAACTCTTTTGATGTGAAATCTCCTCCACGGTTAAATCTTAAAGCTTTGATCACAAGGCCACTTTCCTTTTCAACATGGGCTTTAAACTTCTTGAAGTTCTCAAATACCTCTAATTTTCCTTTTAAGAAATATAATCATATTTTTCTTGAAAAATCATCAATGAAGAGAAGGAAATAACTACTCTTACAAGTGATCTTGCCTTGATTGGACTGCATATATATGTGTGTATGAGTTCTAATGGCTTTTGAGCTCTTGAGTTTGACTCTTGGAAAAATAAATGTGTATTGTTTTTCAAGTAGACATCCTTCATAAACTTGATTAGGTTGAGTAATACAAGGCAACCCCCTCACAATTCTTGGAGAGCAAGTCTAATCCTTTAAAGTTAAGATGGCCAGATTTTGAAGATGTCAAAGCCGTGATTCATCTTTGTAACAAATCTTGAGACATTGTGGGTCATCACTTTGAATGTTAAGCACAAACATTCTATTTCTTGTCATTTTTATGAAGATCTTATGGCTTTGATACCAGTTTGTTGGGAGGAAACTTTAGAGGCTTGAAAGGAGTGTTTAAAAATTGAGAGAGGAAGATTTTGAGAAAGGGAAAGACTTGTTGTAATATTAAAGTTTCTACTATTTAGACTAGTGACTTCTCCTCCACTAATAGTTGGATCTTATCACCACAATATTAATCTAAAGGCTACAGTTCATTCTCTAAAAGTTTCTAAAATATTCCTACAATTCTAAACACTATGTGAACTTAACTAGAAATTTCTTATAGATAAGCTCTCTCTAAATATGTTTATACTACATTCTAGAATCTTCTAAATAAGATTTTTCTAAAATTCTATTTTGGTATTTTCCAATTATGAGTTTTTATCTTATAAGTTTAAAATACAGAATCAATTTTTCACTCCAACAACTTTTTCCATAATATTTGAGTTATCAAAGGTTGTCTGATTTATTGACCATATATATATATATATATATATATATATATATATATTAATTATTGATCGAGATATTTATTTGTAGAAGAAAGTTTCATACCTTGTCTATTTCAAGGTCAGATAATTGGTTCACACCATTAACGTAAATATCCATAAACAAGAGAGGTACCATAGCCTGAAACATTTTGAGAACTCAAAAGCTGTTAATGAATTAAAGCGTAGTTTATATAAGTGGCTATTTAAGGAGAAGTGACATATAATTAGAGTCTAACCTGTAACACCCCAATAAAAAATAATGGAGATATGTCTGATAGCTTCTCCACTACCAAGAGAGATGCAGAAACTGTGCTAAATGTCTGACCAAAGATAAAATGTCTCATTTAAAACTTAATGATACTATACACAAAAAATAAAGTGTTTCGTATTTGAAAAAAAATTGAACTTACTCGACCAATAACGCTGTAAGGATTGCAAAACATGAAGAAAGCATCTACAAACTTTTTCATATAGATAAAATGTGTTTTGGAATTATAATCTTGTGATTCAGAATCAAGATCTGGTCTTGAGATGGCTTTTCCGACATGTTTGTTGTGTTTTTCATAGGTAGGCTCTCCTCCAATCTGTTTGTAACGATTGTTCAATCTTGACGGTTTGAAACTCAAAAGATTATATTCTATTTGAGTTTTTCTTTTGTATTGAGAAGCTTTTGAGTCTAAACAACCTAAGCACCAAATGTTTGATGAAGTATTAGTGGTAAAAAGTAAATAAAATTATACATTATATCACACTGTTTCTTATATATTCATTGTTTCTCAGTTGATAAAGAAAAGAAAAAAATATGAATTTTATATATATATATATATATATATATATATGGGGTTTGCTAACGCGCGTACGCCTGTTTTTCAGTTAGTACATTTTAGAAATGTGTACCGGGTTTTAGTAGACAAAAATATCCTTATATACCATGGATTTTAAGTTCTAAGGTTAAGGGTATTTTAATAATTTTTATTCTCAAAACTAAAAAAGAAAAAAAAAGAAACCCCCAAACCCTTACTCACCTCTCTCATTCCTGTAAACCCTTTCTCTTTCATCTTTGTCACCTTTTCTCTGTCATCCCTACTGTAGCCCCAATTGAAAAAATCAGAAACACCCTACTGTAGCCCCAATTGAAAGTTAAACAATCTTACAAAAAAAATGATTTTATAATGAGTTTTGATCTTATAATTTTTGTCTTATCTAATTTTATCCAATTTTCACAAGCATAAAGGAATTGGTAATTGACCTGGAAAAAATCAGAAATACTTGTTGTTAAACAATTTCTTACAAAAAAATGACTTTATAATGAGTTTTTATTTTATAATTTTTGTCTTATCTAATTTTATCTAATTTTCACAAGCATAATGACATCCGAAAGAATTGGTAATTGGCCTGGAGGGTTTTTTTAGAGATGATGATTCAACATATGCAGATGATGAAATTAGAGAAATTAGTGAAGATGGTGAAATTGAAGAGATCTTGAATGAACCTTTGCCTCAAGGTGAATATGTCAATGACTCAACTCTTTAGAAAGACAAATTGTTTAAAGGCAAGTGTTTCTGATTTTTTCAATTGGGGCTACAGTAGGGATGACAGAGAAAA